TGATGCTGCTTGGCCTGCTGTGTTCATCCAGCCTTGCACCTTGTTGTACCAAATAATTTAGTTAGTGATGGTCATTAAGGCAAAGTCATTGGTCAAGACACTGGAGAGAACTTGTCTTTCTGCTTCCAATAGTGGCACAGGATTTTTTTTGTCACATACTTGGCACGCAGATGGGGCCTTATTTTAACATTTCATTTGAAATGTGACACCTCCAACAGTGCTACACTCCCCCATTTCTGTGCTGGAGTGTCAGCCTTGATCTTGTGCTCAGGAATTTGGAGTGGGACTTAAGCCCACAGTTTTCTGACTCCCAAGATGAGTTTGCAATTTACTAACCATTTTGACACCATTCAGAACAAAAGAAAACCAAAATATACCTAGCCCAGTGATCAAGTTATAAATTAAAGAAACTTGATCTTGGAAGGTTTTCTCTCAAAACACCCCACATCCACTAACTTACATTTTCAATTTTAATTGCTGTTCTGAAGCAGTCAATTTACCCACAAACTGCAAATTAGGTAAAAGACCTATTTATTGATTTGGATGAGTTCGTTGAAAGAAGAATTTCCTCCTCATCTTTGAATGGAGAGACAGAATCGGTTGCATTGATCTAGCAAAGCAGGTGAAAGATTGTTTTAGCATCAACATACTGGCCCTGCATCAGTTCCTCAGTCAACCTAAATAACGTTTTCAGATCCTGCTGTCCTGGTTGATCTCAGTGTCGAGGGATAATTGTGTTCAAAACCAGTAAGTCATTATTACAAAGACAGCAGATTCTTCAAACTCTGCACCATTTGCCAGACCCTTTGTGGTGAGTTTCCTGGTAAAGGGAACCCCACTTCCCATTCACACATATCAAAACATTGCACAGGGTTCACAGTCAAGACTTTCAGACAGCAACTGGGGCATGAAATCTGGAAGATGTTCCTATTCCTAGCCTAAAGGTGTTGAGGCTAATTGTGCTGTTGACTGCTGTTGAGAAGCTTTATGAAGTTAAAGGTGCAACATAAAGATAATTTATTATTTTGTTGCTGCTCACCCAATTTTGAAATCAGCTGAATTAACATTGATTACAGTATCCCTACAGTGTGGAAACAGGCCATTCAGCCCAACAAGGCCACACCATCCATCCGAAGACTATCCCATGCAGACCCATTCCCCGAGCTTCCCATGTCTATCCTACCTAATCTAAACATCCCTGGGCACTATGGGCAATTTCCCATGGCCAATCCACCTAGCCTGCACATCTTTGGTCTGTGAGAGGAAACCCACGCAGACACAAGGAGAATGTGCGAATTCCAAACAGACAGCCATCCGAGGCTGGAATCGAACCCGGGTCGCTGGCGCTGTGAGGCAGCAATGCTAACCACTGTGCCACCGTGCTGCCCGTTGTTGGAAATTGAACCTGAGTCTTTACTGATTCAGGATCTTGACTGACAGAGTCAGCAAGGAACTCTACCTTAGTCTGGATTATTCACCAAAGATCAATTTTGAAAAGTGCAGAATATGTTTCTCTTTTTAAGAAGTATTAATTAAATAGTAATCCATTGCAGGCAAGCTCACTTCACAGTTGACAATTTCTGTATTTCCAGAACCGAGACAACTACATTCGCTCCTGCAAACTTCTCCCTGATGGTCGTACTCTGATTGTTGGTGGAGAGGCCAGCACACTTTCCATCTGGGATCTGGCTGCGCCAACTCCACGAATAAAAGCTGAACTGACTTCATCAGCTCCCGCTTGCTATGCCCTCGCCATCAGCCCTGACGCTAAAGTCTGTTTCTCGTGCTGCAGTGATGGCAACATCGCCGTATGGGATTTGCACAATCAAACCCTGGTCAGGTAAGGCTTTAGATAAGAACGTTGATGGTGCTTTTTTTCAGTTGCTCGTTTTGTTCCTGAGGCTGCTGACCCATGGCTGTACAGCTGAAGGCACTAACCTTGCCCAGTTGGTTGAGAATCTTCCCAATGAAGATCTGTAGCATAATCAGTTGGTGAAGGCCATTAAAACATACATCGATTCTGATCCTAATTGTCACTCAATGCCTGCAGATTGTTTGGATTACCTCCAGATAAGATTGACTTAATTTAATATCCTGGATATACAGCATCCAAAAGTATTGAGGGGCAAAGCCAAGATCAAAAGCCTATGCATTCTGGAATTCTGTATAATGGGAACCCACTGGAAGTGTCCTCATTCATTGGACTTTTTGAGTACTTACATAAGAAATTCATGTAGGTTAGGGATGCACTTACGTGGAGATGATCATATTACAAAGGATTGTTTTATTTCATACTCTACAATAAGGAACAAAATATCGGAATTCTTTTTGGGAACAGTTAATATATAGATACTTTAGTTGTTCCAATTACAGGTGTACAGTTATGGTTGCTTGTTTACAATCGGTGTAACTGTGTTACCTGTGTTTTCATAGGTACCGTTGTAGGTATCTGACAGAAGATCGCAGGATGGAAATTTCTGAAGTCAGGGCTTAGGGCAGTGGAAGGTCCATCTGTCAGGAGTGGGATAATAGATATCAGGCTGAAGTCAGAATTGGAAATGTGCATAGATTTTGGAGGGTTGTATTGCTAGAGGAGGCTGGAGATAGGTAGGGGGATGGACCATTGAAAATGAGGGTGAGAATTGTGAAACCGGGAAATAGCTGAGTTTTGTAACGTAGAAAGTGCCTCTGCAGTGGCCCTCATAAGGTATTGCATCTGAGATGGAGTAGTGACAGAGGTATTGCAATTGATTTGGGAAGAGAAAGGTGACCAAAGATCGCCTCCTAATCACCAGCTGGAGAACTCTGCCAGTCCTACACACACATAGCCATGGGTGGGCGCAGGATCTGGAAGGGGTCCATATAATTGAAAATCCATGTTGCTGGTGACCATTGAGATTCATATTTGAGTAATAGCAACTTGCTAAAGATGGCCAACAACCATGAGTCATTCCAATATCTCTTGGACAGGAGCAGTTTGATTTCTGCCAGGGTTGGGATTGGAGGTAAGACTAGAAATGTTGGCACTAGCCTGTTTGCCTATTCCCAAGCTCCATTGCAGCCCCTGGCTATACTTGGGGAGACATGAGTGGGGGTGTGGAGAGGAAGGTGGCACCTAGTGGCAACTAGCTGACCCAACCTCTAGGTGGCAACTTAACGCCAGTTAAATGGTGCCGAAGGAGGTTTTCCAGTCAACCATTACCACCATTGGCTGGCTCTTCTGAAGTTTTTCCAGATTTAAAAAAAATTAATTCAAGTGTCACTAACTGCTATTGTGGGCTTTAAATTCATGTCCCCAGAACATTAGCCTGGGGTTCTGAATTGCTAGTCCAGTGACATTGCAACTCCTCCTGTGTTTTAATGATTACCCACTTCTCTGTTGTCCCAGCTCGGTGGAACTGCACATATCTGGCCCCACTCTAACATGGGCCATTCTCCCACCAGCAGACCAAGGACCCAATGCGCCAGTGAGTGTAGGAGCTCTCTAGGCCTACCTGCAGGCTGCCCTCTGGAGAACCCCCCACCTCCCGTGGAATCTATTCTCATGGATGCAACACATCTCGAGGTACCAGTCTTTAATCTCATCCTGTTTTTATTGTTCTGTATGCAGGCAGTTCCAAGGCCACACAGATGGGGCCAGTTGCATTGATATTTCGAATGATGGGACGAAGCTGTGGACTGGTGGTCTCGATAATACGGTCAGGTGCTGGGACCTGAGAGAGGGACGTCAGCTACAGCAGCATGACTTCACATCCCAGGTACAGACTGTCTGAGACACTTCAGGGAGAGAGTGGTGACCACAGGAGTTGAATAAGTTCAAAATGATCCACTTCGATGTTTATTTTATTTGCTCATGGGATATGATCAGCACTAGCTAGGCCAACATCTATTGCCCGTCTCTAATTTTACCTGGAAGGTGGTTAAGAGTTAACCACATTCCTGTGGCTCTGGAGTCACATCACAGACCAGGTAACGAGGACATTAGTGAACCAGATGGGTTTTTACAACAATTGATAATGGCTACGTTATTGCCATTGGCTGGCTCTTTTACAATTATTCCAGATTTTTTTTTAAGTTGAATTGTAATGTCACCATCTGCCAAGTTGGGCTTTGAACCCATGTCCCCAGAACATTAGCCTGGGGTCTGGATTGTCAGTCCAGTGACATTGCCACAATGCCAATATCTCCCCTGTTTTAATGATCATTCTTATTCTCTGTTGTCCCAGCTGGGTGGGACTGCACACATCTGGTCCCTCTCTGACTCTGTCCAGTTGTAGCTACAGTATGACCCCGGTGACATCAAAGTAAGGTAAATTTGTTATAGTCCCAAATGTCCGTTGAGCTCCTCTCTCATTAGAGAGGGACGACTGGTAGTGGTTTAGCCTCAAGGTCACCACCCTGCCTTGGGCAAAGAGCACGTTTGGTAACCTCAGCTGGTACAGCAATTGAACCCATGCTGTTGGCTTCACTCTGCATTGCAAACTAGCCGTCCTAGACCTCTACTAGACTCCTTCCTATTTCCCATCTACGTTCTCCGCTTCCTGGCTATGTATTGTGAAAATGCAGTGTCAGTTTCTACTTGTTTGCCAATGACACCCTGCTCTACCTTATCAGAGACTCTCCTGACCCATCACTGACTGTAGATTGTTGGATGTTGTCCAACTGGAAGACCAGAAATTTCCTCCACCTAAATATTGAGAACATAAAAGTCACTGTTTTCATTCCTTACTGCAAACACCATTCCTTCACAACTGACCCTACCCCTTTCTCTGTCTGAGGCAGAAGCCAATCAGTCTAAAACCGCCATGTACATTTGATCCCAAAATTAAGATCTGAAAATGTCCCTTCATGGTTACTATGACAGCCAATCTCCTTCCTCCAACCCTGTCTCAGTTCATCTGCTGCTGAAACTCTCATTTATACTTCTCATTACATTTTGACAACCATTCCAACACAGTCCTGGCTGATATCCCAGAGTCCACGCCCCTGTCTGAACTCATATCAGATCCATTCACCATCATCTCTGTCCTTGCTGAGCTACATTGGCTCCAGATTTAGCAATGACCGTATTTCAAAATTCTAATTCTTGTTTTCAAATCCCTCATGACTTTGCACCTCAGTAACTCTGTAGCCTCTTCCACTCCTTCTGCGAAATTTTCCTACGCAGCAGAACAATAACCCAGGAAGGGAGCACATAAACTGTTCACAGTCCAGCCCTTTTTATGATCATGTGCTTCCATGCCCATGCAAATCAATCTAAAGGTAAAGAAAATTGGGACTGAACATGGCCAACAATGCTCCAGGATCTGGGAGCTCTTCCAATTCTGGCTTCGTGAGTACCCAGGATTTTAATAACTGCACCTTGTTGGCCATGCTTTCAACAATGGTCTTTGACTATCTGTCCTAAAATCCCCATATGTGGTGTGATATCATATTGTGTCTGATAATCACTCATAGACTACCTTGAGCCATTTAACTGTGTTAAAGGGCCAACTCAGTGTGAATTATTCTTTGTGTTTGACAGAATACCATTTAAATTCCCTGCTATTCTCAGATGAAATTATGTGATTGATCACTTCCACAATTCTGGATTTGTGAGATTTTAACACTCTGTCCATATGAAGACTTAAAAAAACACAAGTATGTTCACCACAAAGTATAGCTTCAGACATTTAGACCAGAGACATTAATAAATTCATTGATATAAAGCATTGGTGTGAAAGAGTTAACTTAGAAGCTTTGGAATAGCTCCACCCACTGATATATAAATGACCATCTCTGGAAGGAGCTCGTCAGTTCAGCATAGACCCATAGAGTCACACAGCACGGAAACAGACCCTTCAGTCCAACCAGTCCATGCCGAACATAATCCTAAATTAAACCAATCCCACCTGTCTGCTCCTTGCCCACATCCCTCCAAACCTTTCCTATTCATATATCTATCCAAGTGTCTTTTAAACATTGTAACTGTACTTGCATCCACCACTTCCTCAGAAAATTTATTCCACACACGAACCACCCTCTGTGTAAAAAATTTGCCTTGTAGTTCTGAGTTAGTTAGTTTTACAGTTTACAGTCATGTAACATAGACCATAGGTGCATTACCCTGTTTCTTAACTAGTGTTAATATAGTTAATTAGTCTTAAACAATCTAACCTGTTATCGTAGTTAGTATGGAATAACCTATTTCTTGTTAAGTAAGTGTCTCTCTTGCTGAAGACATATTATTGATTAATCCCTCAGGATTTAAAACTACCTGCGGCCCCACAGACTAGTTTTAGAAAAATGGTCAGTGGCAGCAAATTGACACAAAGATGATCTGATTACAATCGGGTGCCAGCTGCGGGCATCTCTTACAACAAAGGCCATTCTAATTGTGTGCAATCCAAAGCTAATCCTACTTCCTTGTATTTTCCTTTATAGCCCTTATATCCTCCTCGGTTATCCTGAGAGAAGCCACTCTCCATTTACCTTCACTATTATTAAAAGTCTCTAATTCCCTGTGGCAATAAGTTCCTGTACCAACACTGCTTACAATTCTTTTCCTTTGTCTATTCTTGGCAAATGACTGTGGCCTCTGGAGAATTTGTGAACTCCATAACAGTAGGCTGAAGTATGAATTGTTACCAATTTGTCACCGATGCTGGAAGCAGTGAGAGCTCTTTGAAATGATAAATGAAGCATATCACGTGAGACCCAAGTCTTTTGGTTTAAATTAAGTTCTTTTCTTTTGGACTAATATGCTGCACAACCCAACAGTGTAGTAAAAACAAAATACTGGAAATACTCAACAGGTCTGGCAGCATCTGTGGAGAGAAAAACAGAATCAATGTATTAAGTCTAATTTGTCTGTTCTTTGGATGCCTCTTCGATTCTGAAGCAGTCATATTTGACCCAAAATGAAAAATCTGAATAAAAACTAAAAGAACTGCAGATGCTGTAGATCAGAAACACAAATAGAGATTGCTGGAAAAGCTGAGCATGTCTGGCAGCATTTGTGAAGAGAAATCAAGAGTTAACATTTTGGGTCCCGTGACCCTTCCTCAGAAAAATCGGATCTCTCTCCACAGATGCTGCAGCTTTCCAGGACTTTTAAATTTCCAGCATCCAGTTTATTTTTTGTGAATAACATTCTTCAATTAATATTAGTCCTGTTGGCTCAGTTCAATACCCTGTTATCATCTGATCTGCTGTGGAGATCTGCTAAGAACCCGAGAAAAGCACATTTGCAAATCTGAAAGAGTGTTTGCGGAGACGTAAAGATATCCAAAAGTAGCACAGTCTGCACACAGTTTTCCATTTTCCAGACTGCGCTGATGTCTTTTGTCAAAAAACAACAAGTGAAACCATTTGCCTCAATCTCAGGAGTAGCCCAAGACTTTTCTAACTCTGTAATAATGTGGACCTCGGCAGCTGTACGGCACAGTTTAACAGATTGTACAGCACTGTTTAACAGATTGTACAGCACTGTTTAACAGATTGTACAGCACTGTTTAACATCCGTAACCTGGGAGCATTGTGACTCCTTGTGTAAGTCTGACTGATTGAGGACAGATAACAAGTATCTAATCAGTTTGATCAATCGGCTTATTTATTCCAGCTCCCGACATGAGAAAACTCTTGTTACAACCAATACGCCTACTACAACCAATACATGTTTTTAAAGATCATTTTGACCGAGTCTGCCGAATGTTAACTGGATCTGTTGTTGACAGTCAGTTAACTCAGTTAGCTGGGCAGCTGGTTTGCAATGCCCAGTGATGCCAACATTGCGGATTCAATACCCACACCACCTGTGGTCACCATAATAGTCCCACCTCACCCCCTCACTTGAGGTCTCGTGACCCTTGCAGTAAACTCATCACTCGTCATCTCTCTCTCTCTCTCTCTCTCTGTTCAGAGGGTAGACCTCTGAGATTGTGGTGATTTTTTCTAAAGCATTCCTTTTTTTAAAATCCCAATTTTCAATTACTTTCTGGGAATAAATTGTAAGGTTGGACAAAAATGTGAAATCGATGATATCGATTCTGTTGCCTGATCTGTTGTTGTTTGTGTTGGCCAGTTAATGGAGCAAGTGACTGGTCTGCCACTGCCCCACATCATATTTCACAGCCAAGGTCAAAGAGCATTCCCCCCAACTCCCACCCGGATACCTTTCTAATATGTGCTATAATTGGCCTTTAAGGTCAGTGCACCAATGTTGGAAAGGAATTGCAGAGTAACAAGTTGATGATTAGTGAAGCCCTTGCTGAAAACCTGATGGGTCCTGTTTCAGATTTTCTCCCTGGGGTACTGCCCGACTGGAGAATGGCTTGCTGTCGGGATGGAGAGCAGCAACGTCGAGGTTTTACACGTCAACAAGCCAGACAAATACCAGCTTCACCTCCATGAGAGCTGTGTACTCTCGCTCAAGTTTGCCTGTTGCGGTAAGCAATGGTCTCAAGTTTATCAGACACCATGTTGTAGGAAGCTGCATAATCGATGCTGAACAGCTTTGATAGGGTTATTGCATCAGTGTGAACCTGTCAGCTATAATACTACCATGCTAGAGTGATGTTGTGTGTTCAAATTCTATCTAATGCATTCCTGAGATATAACGTTAATTGCTTATCGCTCATCGCCCTTGAGAAGATGGTGGTGAGCCATCTCTTTGCCACATGGACAGCAGCAGTTCAGTACAGGAACAATTTGCTGCAGATGCTGGAATGTGTACTGAAAACATAAAGGGCTGGAGATCACAGTCGGTCAGGTAGCATCCATGGAGAGAGAGCAAGCTAACATTTCGAGTCTAGATGACTCTTCATCAGTGCTGAAGTATGGAGGGGGCAGCATTTATGCAGTAGTCAGGGGTTGGGGGTTGGGGGGTGGTGGTGGTTGGAGTGCTGGGGGAGAAAGGATGTTGATAGTTCAGATTAAGTGATCAGAATATGAGAATGGCAGAACAATGGTGTATCTGACTGCCAGACTGGAAAGAACAGACAGTCGCACTGGGGTGGGGGATGGGGAGAGAGAGGGAGACAGAGAATGTAACAAGCAAAGCTAAAAGAAAGGGAAGGAATGGGTTCACAATTTGAAGGCATTGAACTCTAATTGAGCCCAGAAGGTTGTAAACTGCCTGGTTTGAAGATGAGATGTTGCTCCTCCAGTTTGTCCTGTGATTCGCTTTCTCTGCTCCTCTCACCCATTCTAACCTGTCCCCTTCTGGAATTGTCACACTTTACTCTCTCAGGTCCAACCCTAACTTCGTTATCAAACCTGTCGACAAAGGTGGTGCTGTTGTAGTCTGGCTTTTGTAGTCTGTAATCTTTACCTTGCGGAGGCTCAATGCCAACTCTCGGACACTTCCTCCCCCAAGACCATGACCCCACATCCGAACATTAGAGCCGTTGTTGCCAGGACTGTCACCGAGCTCATCACCTCTGGAGATTTTCACCCCAGTGTCTCAAACCTTATAGTCTCCCAAACCCGGACAGACCGCTTCTGCTTCCTTCCCAAAATCCACAAACCAGACTGCCCTGGTAGACCCATCATACCAGCCTGCCCCCGCCCCACCAAGCTCATTTCCTTTTACCTTGACTCCATCCTGTCTCCACGTGCCCAGAACCTGCCCACCAACATCCACGATTTCTCTGATGCCCTCTGCCATATTGACAATTTCCAGTTCCCTGGCCCTAACGGCTTCCTGTTCACCATGGATGTCCATTCCCCACCAGGATGGTCTGAGAGCTCTCAGCTTCTTCCTCGACCAGAGGCCTGAACACTCCCCATCCACCTCCGCCTGGCTAAACTTGTTTTCTCCTTGAACAATTTCTCCGTTAATTCATCTCGCTTCTGCCAAGTCAAAAGAGTGGCTACAGGGACCTACATGGATCCCAGCTATGCCTGCCTCTTTATGGGGTATGTGGAACAATCCTTGTTCGAAACCTACAGCAGAATCTTCCCACAACTCTTTTCTCGATACATCGATGACTGCTTCACGCTCCCACCAGGACCTTGAAAAATTTGTTCATTTTGCCTCCAATTTCCACCCCTCTATAACTTTCACATCATCCATTTCCGACACTTCCCTTCCTTTCCTTGACCTCTCTGTCTCCATTTTGGGGAATAAATTGTCCACTGCCATCCACTACAAAGCCACTGACTCCCATAGCTACCTTCACTACAGCTCTTCCCAGCCCACGCCTTGCAAGAACTCCATCCCATTCTCCGAGTTCCTTCGCCTACATCGTATCTGTTCAGACAATGCCAGCTTCCAAAACAGTGCTGCTGACATGGCTTCCTTCTTTTATAACCATGGTTTCCTGCCCACTGTGGATGACAGGGCCCTCAACCACGCCGACCTATCACTCGTGCTTCTGCCCTGGCCCCTTCCCATCATCTGCAGCAGTGTGGTTGGATCCCCCATGTTATCACTTTTCACCTCGCCAGCCTCCACCACTCAAAGAATCATTCTCCACCATGTCAGACAACTCCAGCAGAATGCCACCTCCAAACACACGTTCCCTTCACTCCCCCTGTCTGCATATCACAGGGATTGCTTCCTCCAGGACACAGTAGTCCATTCCTCGACCACCAACACCATGCGCCCTTCCCACGGCACCTTCCTATGTAACTGCAGAAGTTGCAACACCTGCCCCTTCACCTCCTCCCTGCTCACTATCCAAGGGGCTAAACAGTCTATCCAGGTGAAGCAGCATTTCACCTGAACCTCCTCCAATCTTGTGTATTGTATTCGCTGCACCTAATGTGGCCGAATCTACATTGGAGAAACCAAACACAGACTGGGTGACCACTTTGCAGAACACCTCTGGTCCGTGCACAAGCATGACACCGATCTTCCTGTAGCCAGTTGTTTTGATACAGCGTCCTGCTCACATGCCCACATGTCTGTCCTTGGCATGCTGCAGTGCTCAAACTGGAGGAACAACGTCTCATCTTCAGACTAGGCACTTCACAATCTTCTGGGCTCAATTAGAGTTCAATGCCTTCAAATTGTGAACCCATTCCTTCCTTTTCTTTTAGCTTTGCTTGTTATATTCTCTGTCTCTCTATCTCTCTCCCCATCCCACCGCCACCCCCCCCCCCCCCCCCCGCCGCCCCCAAGCCAGTGGGACTGTCTGTACTTTCGAGTCTGGCAGTTAGACACACCATTGTTCTGCCATTCTCACGTTCCGATCACTTAGTCTGAACTATCAACATCTTTTCTCCCCCAGCACTTCAACTACCCTCCCCCCCAAATTATTGCATAAATGCCAACCCCTCCACACTTCACTTCAGCACTGACGCAGATTCAAAACATTAGCTTGCTTTCTCTCCATGGATGCTGCCTGACCCGCTGTGATCTCTTGCAATTTCTGTTTCCAGTACAGCTGTTCAATGTTCCTCTTGCAGCAAGTTTGGTTAGAGTTGAAGAACTTTTATTCAGTGACAGTGCAGCAATAACTTCCAGACAAAATGGAAGGGAGTTTGGAGGTGATAGTGTTCCCATGTGCCTAACCGCCCTTTGCCATTGAAGATGGTCATAGTCTGGTGATTTGCTGCAGCACATTCTGTGAATGGCACACAATGCAATGACAGACAGAACGGGTGGATGGATGTTGAAATAAGTCAATGGGCCACAATTAGCAGATAATTCATCTCATTGCTGATTGTGGGATCATATAGTAGCCAAAATGTTTGCCTTAAAAGAGCATCAGCCAGTGCAGTTCGTAGCACTTGGTTAATATTAAAGCAAATGCGCTGGCTGTGTCTGAGAACAGGAGAACTGAAGGTTCTGACTTCCTTTTAGGCATAAGCCAACAAATAACTTGAAGGCTCGTGTCAATGCAGATTGCTATAGACACCACAGAGCTACATCTTAGACCTTGCCATTTTAACCAGGAACCATCCCTCTCTCGATGATAATGAAGGGAGTGGGAGATCTATTCAAGTCAGCAACTAATACATTTATGGTCTGATTCAATATAGACTACCCTGTAAGGAGAAATCAGTTGGGGGTTTCTTCAGTCTGTGACACGCCCTCATAGAATCCCTACAGTGTGGAAGCAGGTGATCCAGCCCAACAAGTCCACACTGACCCTCCAGACAGCATCTCGCCCTATTCCTGTAACCCTACATTTCCCATGGTTAATCCACTTAACCCAGACTGGGTAATTTAGCATGGCCAGTCCACCCTTGGAGCGGCATGGTGGCTCAGTGGTTAGCACTGCTGCCTCACAGCACCAGGGACCTGGGTTCGATTCCACCCTCGGGCGACCGTCTGTGTGGAGTTTGCACATTCTCCCCACGTCTGCGTGGGTTTCCTGCGGGTGCTCCGGTTTCCTCCTACAGCCCAAAGATGTGCAGCCTAGGTGGATTGGCCATGCTAAATTGCCCATAGTGTCCAGGGATGTGTAGATTAGGTGGGTTATAGGGGGATGGGTCTGGGTGGGATGCTCTGAGGGTCAGTGTGGACTTGTTGGGCTTAAGGGCATGTTTCCACACTGTAGGGATTCTATGATTCTAACCTGGATTTTGGGAGGAAACCAGAGCACTCGGAGAAAACCCACACAGACATGGGGAGAATGTGCCAACTCAACACAGTCACCCGATTGAATCCAGGTCCTTGGCACCGTGAGGCAGCAGTGCTAACCACTGAGCCATTGTGCCACTCCACTCATGAATTGTAACTCTACCATGTTCAAGCTATGATACACAGTAAGACTTTCAACGACTGCAGCACATTCAAATGAATAAATTGAGGATTTCACGGATTGTGCATCACATTATACACCACTGCAAGGGTTTAAATGCCTATTTTGATGTACTGTGATACACACTAGATGTTCAATTGACTCTAAAAGTGTATTCAAACTGTGACAAACATTTAAGGTTTACTTGACTCCTTTAAATTGTTAGAGCTTCACTGCCATGGTTTACAGTGCTTTCCAAACCTGATTGTTTTCCAACCGTTCTTTATCCTGTGTGTTGGTTGAGTGGACACTTTGAAGCACTGAAACCCTTTTAAGCTTCTTTGCAGGCAATGAAAATCCGTCACCTTGGCACAAAGCCAATGTGAGCAATCACTCCTTTGGCCTCAGGGGTTTTGTTACTAGGTTCGGGAGATTTCTCCTCCTCTTACACTAAGAGATGACTTTAGCAGTCAATTTTAATGAAGTATTTACTCCAGATTTCAGGACGAAGGTTACCTCGTGTGCATGCCACGTAGGAGACCTTGCTAGTCTTCTCAAAACATCCAGTTTCTTCTTAATGTAGTCCCTGAGAGTGTGAAATAACTACACAGAAGCCGCTATCCCATCACCAAGTCACCCTTTATTTATTTGTGCACAGTACATGGATTCTGTCCAAAGCCAGCAGAATTTCTGAGACTCCTGTTTATATCTGTCAGCCAGGGATCCCTGACTGACCCAGGTTAACAACCCCAATCAAGGATCTCAGTCAATGAGATCCATCTGGCCCTCATTCCAATCACTACAGAGTGTTTTTGAGGAAGTGTGAATGCAGGCCTAATCCAATCCCACCATTCATTTCCAACGAACAAAATGTTAAGGTTTTGAAATTGCTGTCCTTAGAACTCTCCCCTCCACAGTAACAGCAATCTCACACTAGTCAGGAGCTTTGGGCACAGACACTAGTGGAATGAAGGAAGTCTTACATTGATTCACCATCTCAGGCTGTCCCATTGCACTTTATAGTTGAAAAGGTCTTTCTGAAGCATTATCAAATGCACAAGCCACATACACAGCAAGATCCCATAAACAGTAATATGACCATAATCAGGTAATATGTTTTTCTTTTGAACTAGTGTTGCCTAAAGAATAGATATTAATCAGATTGCTTGGGAGTCTTCCCATGCTCTTCTTTGAAATAGTGCTGGAGGGTTCTTTGTTTTCTAAGATGAATGCGAGTAAGAGAGATGGCTTGTGTTGAAATGGCTCATCTGAAACTGAGAGAGTAGTGCTTGCTCAATACTATACTGGAGCTAGGACTGAGCTATAGTAGAGAGGCCGAGCTGGTGATAAAGGTCTCAGGAATGCAGTGTTACCATATTGTTATTATTTCAATGATCAAACCAACATTGTTAATCAATAAAGATATACATTGCAAAATTAAGATTTTGAAACAAATCACAGTGCAAATCATAAATTTGATTTGATTTTCCAGGTAAATGGTTTGTAAGTACTGGGAAGGACAACCTCCTGAATGCATGGAGGACTCCATATGGAGCCAGTATATTTCAGGTACCTGTCTGTTAGAGAATAACACATAGATATCAAGGGCCTCATTTCTAAACAGGCTCCTGTTTGATGTATGCTGTGCTTGTGATTTTTCATTTGCTAATTCTTGTGTTCAATTGTGCTAATGGCCAGTGTACCCAACTGGCACTTAAACTTGAAGGTAGTCAAACCCGATCTGTACCTGTCCTTTTGCTGTCCTCTTATTTACACAGGAACAGAACTAATGTCCATCAGAGATAACAAGGTGTACAGCTGGATGAACACAGCAGGCCAAGCAGCATCAGAGGAGCAGGAAGGCTGATGTTTCGGGCCTAGACCCTTCTTCAGAAATCCTGCTCCACAGACAAAGAGGTCATGAGGGCAGGCCTAGAGTAATGGGGGAAATAAGCCTGCTTATCATATGGAATACTGGAGATGTAGACCCAAAAAGGCCACTGTTAAGAACAGCTGATTTGAGAATTGAAGTAACAGTGTTTATACATGACCAAAAATATATTCCTGTCAAGCTTCTAAAGAGCTGCATAGAAAATATTAAAACCGAAGAACTGCAGATGCTGGAAAGCAGAAGCAAAAACAGAAATTGCTGGGTAAACTCAGCAGGTCTGGCAGCACCTGTGGAGAGAAAGTGGAGTTAACGTTTTGGGTCCAGTGACCTCTCTTTGCAGCATATTAGTTCATTGCTTAATTATAATTATTCATGTGCAGTATCTATCTCATCCATTTGTGGCAAATTGTATTTTCTAATCAACCTGTCAGAGATGTTCATCTGGAGCAGGTGGGAATTGAACTCAGGCCTCGTGGCTCAGAGTTAGGGACGTTATCACTGCGCCACGAGAGCCCCTCACAAAAGGACCACCTATAAACAGAATCATTAGCTTCACTGGCCCTGACTGATAAATTAACTATTCTTCCCAGTCCTGATCGCTGTGACCATGGCTTTTGAATACCCTTTTGTGCAGTGGGGCAAGGGCACACTTGCTACCATGGATTTGGGGTTGTCTGAAAGTTAAAACCGGAAGTGGGGAGGTGGAATCTTTAAATGCTAGAAAAAAAAGTGGCATACTAGTTATGAGGGAGTTTCTTTCAAAAACCTGAGTTAGTGACACCATACCTTTTTTTTTTGTCAAGTCAAAGGAATCGTCCTCAGTGCTGAGCTGCGACATTTCTGTGGACGATAAGTACATTGTCACCGGCTCTGGTGACAAAAAGGCTACAGTCTACGAAGTGATTTACTGAGCAGCAACCTCTCAGCCAGCAAGTAATCTAAAGGGACACCCAGCTGTTAATGAACATTGTATTTAACTCGGGACAAAGTTCAGGACAACAACAGCTACTGCCAAAGCAGACTGCATTTGTACTGTTCAAGGCTGCAATATACTATAGAGCAAAAACCTTCAGATATGTTTAGGCGAAAGCAAAACACGTGGGACGTCTGTCTTGTTTATACTACATAGTGAATTGTAATTGTGAAAATGTACATACTTTTAAAAACAAAATGGTTTTGCGTTGGCCTGTTTTGCCACAAAATGATCATTCATGGATGAAGTCCTTTCTTTTATACTGTCTTTACCTTCAGGAAGCAGGATTCCTGCTGAAGAAAGCCTTGTATTTAATATTGATTGACCACATCCACCACTGTATAGGGGACAAATGCACTGTGTAGAACTACTTTGTGATTTAAGCAACAGTCTTTATGTGAAGTGTTGAATGTTATTGTCTGAGTAGCATCTCTAATTCTAGCATTGGTTTCTTTTTCTGTTTCATAAAACTAGTGCCACACACTTGTGCAGGACACTGCTCTACAAGGCATTACCAAAGGGAGAAAAGTTGCTATTTAACTCTGCTGTCTCGTACTGTGATCACTTTTCATCTCATTTCCACCTAGTAATCATTCACGACTTTCTGACTTAAAAGTGGGATAAGTGTTGTAGGAAAGACCATGCTATGACTGTACCACTAAAACATACAGTGCAACCAATGCGAGGTACCCATTCACGGTGACATATTTGTTCTCTCTCAGGCCTCTGCCCACAATATCTTAAATACTAGTACAACCAAGAATCAGCCAAGCATCTTTTTCACCTAGTGGAGACAGACTCAGATATCAATCACCCTTGTTACTGTCCATATTTAATAACCAAAAATAAGGTTGTGGTGTCTGGGCCATCCCACCCCACCCCCACCACTCACTTCTCACTTTATATAAAATCGGAATTCTGTAAATGCCGGTAAGTTATTTCCTGGAGAATGCCTTTGTGTTGCAGTACACTGTGCAAGTACAGACAATAAAGTTTATTCCGAGAGGCTTGGGATCAATGCATCATCAGAGTAAGGGGCCCCGTTCTGAACATGTAAAATGAGCGTGCGCCTATGTGAAGCTGCAGGAGGAAGACGATTGATGTAGCATCCTCCCTCGTGTTTGACTCAAAAGATGTAGGTTAAGGAAAAGTGAACAGAGAGAGACAGAGTGTATGATGTACTATAATATATTGCAGCTTCAAAAAAAAATTTTTTTTGCACATGAATGTGCATTTCAAGAACAAGTTTCTCTTTTGTACAGGTCTATGTAAGTGAGTGACTGTAGAACGCCGCTGTATAGTAAGTAAAAATACAAAAAAAAAATCCATTAAACATGCACCACTCTGCCCATCATTGTACTTGTCTGTTGAGTGTTCCATGACTGAACAGGAAAAGCTAGAAACATAACTAGTTTTAAAAGCAAAGCAAACGTTTGTATTTAAAATATTTATAATAGTTCAAGCGAATTCAAACTGACTTACTTAATCAGGTGACATTCAGGTTAAAAACTGAGGCAAATCAGTTGGTCAGTCCTGGATGGGCCATTTTGTGGAAGTGGCAATCATAATGTAGTTGGTTAAATGAAAGGCTATCCTCAGATAATAGACAATCTTGTTTGTAGAAACTTGCAACACTCAGGAGAAACTTGCCATTCAGGAGAAAGCAGCTCGCTCAGTTGGTACCATATGCGCTCCTTCAATCACCGATGCTCCGTACACACTGCTGCTACTATGTACAAGATGCACAGCAGAAATTCATCAAAGATCCTTAGACAGCACCTTCCAAATCCTACCATCTAGGAGGACCAGGGCAGCAGATATATGAGTCAACACGACCAGCTTCTTACGGGTATTGTGGGTCTGACTGCAGCAGTTCACAAAGGCAGCTCACCATTACCTTGCCAAGGGCACCTAGCGATGGGCAATAAATGCTGTCCAAAACAGAGATGCCCACATCAGAGGGACGAATCAACGAAAAAAAAATGCAACTGTAGCCAGTTGAGTGCAATTTTCCCACCATGCATCCACACAAAGGCACAAGATTGGAAAACCTGTTGGGAATGAAAGCGTTTGGCAAAATACATGACCCTCATCATGGGCATCGACTTGGTGAGATGTAGGCAAAACAATGTGCAAAACATCAGTTAAGAAACAAAATGGCAGTACACACTTGTTCATTTTAATGTCAAAATCTGATGCCTATCTTCCCATTGGAAGATCTGGGCCATTGTAGCTGTATACACTGCAGTTGCACCTCAGGACCATACAAAGACGCCCAGGAAGTTCAAACTTCTGAGATAGAAGGAACTGCAGATGCTGGAGAATCTGAGATAACAAGGTGTAGAGCTGGATGAACGCAGCAGGCCAAGCAGCACCATAGGAGCAGGAAAGCTGACGTTTCGGGCCTAGACCCTTCTTCAGAAAATGAACCTTCTTCTGAAGAAGGGTCTAGGCCCAAAACATCAGCTTTCCTGCTCCTCTGATGCTGCTTGGCCTGCTGTGTTCATCCAGCTCTGCACCTTGTTAGTTCAAACTTCTGATGGGCAATTTCCTGCCAGCTGGAAATCTCAAAAAATTCCAACTTTCCATTAACATTGGAAACGTTGGATGGCTGTAACTGACTTATCTGAATAGTTAGCAGGAAAAAAAAAGATTTTAAACCTGCCCTAACTCAAAAGGTAGTTATTAAATGGAGGCGTTCTGTTCCCACCACAGTCAGCCACTCAACAGCGTTAACATTTTGAGTCCACTGATACTTCATCATCAGAAGTGGTTCTGAAGAAGGGTCATTGGACTCAAAACATTAACTGTTTTTCTCTTCACAGATGCTGCCAGACTTGTTGAGTTTCTCCAGCATTCTGTGCTCCTTTCATACCTAGAGGAAGCTGGCTCTGTGAACGGTGAAAGTTGCAACAGATCAGGCATAATCTGATTGAATAGCAGAAAAGGTTGACGGCTGGTGGAAAAATAGTAGCTCCAGTTTTATGCCTCATTCAAAAGATGGCACCTGTGACAATACAGTGTGCCCTCAATACTTATGTCCATCTTTATTATATACTCAAGACTTGCAACACAACTTGTATTTGTAACCTTCATGATCAAAAGGTAAAAGTGGAATCAATGAGTTACGCTGGCACTGTTTTCCCCCAATACCAGTGAAGGAACATTGGACAATCTTGCATATTATTAACTTATAACCAGCAGCAGTCTTCAGTGAAGATGGCCATCAACTTTGCTGAAAGTCAGTTTGTGTTTAATTGGATGTGTGTATTTTTGGTGTTACCCAATTGCAATAGACCAGAAGTCTGACTAAAGACACATAACAAAAAATAGACATCACATACAAAATAGTTTATTGGGAACTTAAAAGGAATAAACTACAAATTCATCCCAAACTAGGATGCAAAAGCATGAAAGATGGAAGGGTTCTGGACATTACAAATCACCATATTGGGCAACAAAAAAGAAAACGTGTATCACAGAAGAATTTAGCAATTTATCTCCTCCCTAAGAAAGGTTCGAGGCACAGTTAAAGAGAATATACAAGTGGATAGTTAGGGCACAGGTAATGCGTACAGTCAGTCAATCAACTTAACTGTGGAGGCAAAATATAAAATGTGTACAACCTTCTGGCATTGCAGGTAGCCAAAATAAGGGACTGACTCAAACAATGTATTGGCCAGCTGCCCATGGACCTGAACTGGCCAGATGTGGTATTGACCACAGCACACTTGTTGCTGGAGATTTCATTAAAATGGTCTTCACAGTAACTTTGATGTTCCCATTCCTTTGCCATAGAGTGTACCATTCCCAATACATGAACCAGAACATCTACAACTAATTTTGGAATGGGCCAAAATGGGAACAAGTGAGAGAAAGAAGGAAAAAGGTGTATAACATATTCAATAAATAGAAGTAACAAATGGAAAAAAAATGTAAAACAAAATACAGAAGACTGTGATAGCAGGACAGCTCAAGACTAAAATGAATCAAACCAAACAAATCAGTTACTTAGTTTATGCTTTGCCACACATGCTATTCAGCAGGTTTTCCCATATTTTCTGAAAGGTATCTAACCTTCTCATGATTTTCACACCCTGTGAAACCGCAAAGACACCCAAAGTAGTCATTTCTCAGGAAACAGCTGCACCCTTGGCTATTTTCTCCAGAGGGTCGAAACTCCAAAAGCTAAGCAAGCATCTTTCTGCTTGTTTAAAAAAATAACTCAATGACTTACAGGCCATTTCTTTTGGTCCATCTGGAAAAATGCAAAGAGCTATTGGAAAAGTTATGGAATGAAGTTGGGAGAGCGTTGACAACACTGTCAAAAGCTCTTTTGAAACCTCATGAGAAAGGACCAGCAGAATAGGTCCCATGTTCTATTAGAGATATCCCAAACAACCAAATACCTTCAAAAGACAACGAAAGCAGGATTGGTAAATGCACTTTCAGACTTTCAGTGAGCTATGCAGGCCAGGAAGAAGCCAGTTCGGTGCTGAATTAATTCATTTCAGAGTTGGTTGTAGACCTACAATTAGCCTCAGGACTAATTTGGAAGGGACGGGCTGAGTGGGGAAGCAGACCAGTGTGAGAATTAGGCCTTGCTTCTTACTCCTGTTTACCAGTGACTTCTGTTGAAAAACAGGCTTAGATGTTAATGACAGGATCTTGCATGAAGGTGGTATCTTCCCAGGTCAGGTAGCCTTATGCAGTCACATTGATAAGTCGCAGACAGCTGATTGGGAAAACACTGGAAAATTACTCGTAGAACTGTGTGGCCGAAAGGAGTCAGCATTTTGAAGAATGGTGAGTTGCAGGTTGCTGGGACCAAACAACAGAAAACATGCTATTAGCGTCATCATTTCTTTTAATGTTGTGGGTGGGACTAAAATGGAAGTGAAGCCAAAAACACATTAAAAATTACATATCACATCAATCGCTCTCAAACCGAATGGCTGAGCCAGAGCTACATTGCAAATTAAAAAGTGAAAAGCATCATCCTATTGCCTAGATGTTAATTGGATAGGGTGTTTTGCCTACAACAGACAGATCATCGCATTGTCTCAAAGCAAGTGGACAACTGTTGCAAAAACTTATGCAAGAGTAAAGAAATCCAAAAGCCTTTAAAAAGAAAATGAATATCCAATTCAATCTATCTTGGCAACAGCATTGTACTATCTTCTGTTACTCAATGGCTGTAACTCGAGTTTCAGGAAACAGAATAAACGTTCAGCTTCTCAATTGGGCATTGATGGACTGTAATGACTTCTGATCCTTTAGTTTAAATGATGTGGATTCCTCCCAGTTGTGCTGTACAGTAAATAGTTTGTTCACTCGCTCCTCAGCTGGTAGACAACACGGGGCATTGATTTACAAACTATTTTTTGGTGAATGAATAAACTTGACGGTTTGGATTTCTATAAACAGTCCGTTTCATGGTCTACCAGACTAAGTGCAATCGCTGTGCTCTCCTCCCGCCACCATAAAAATTCACCTTCAGCTTAACCAAAAGATTGTCAGACTGTGCAGTAATCAATCATTTTGCACAATGGCGATAAGTACAAGCTTTGGCACAGCAGAGAATTAGTCATGCCAGGTGGTAGGCAAGAGCGAAATCAATAATAAATCTTGAACAATGAATGAGTGAACACAATCAAGAGTCAAACTTTCAACGCAAGCAACTTCCTATATTCACATTTGAACAGTGACCTATGGGAAGGTTACATGTAAAAACATTAGTTTATAACAGTGGGGAGAGGGATTAGCAAAGAGGAAGATGAGCAAACTAAGGTTTAGTGTTTCACGCTGTTTGACGAAGAACAAACAGCACACTGTAAAAAAGATTCTTTTCTCATAAATATGTTTTAAAATGCAACTCATCGCAAAAATCTTCGAACACAATGTTCAGTTGCTGTAAAGACCTTCTCAGATCTGGGGGCAGTACGCTGTTGAGGAGTTACATCTGTCTAAAAATCAAAATCAAGCAGCTTCAGATTTCTTCCCATCAAGTTATGAAACCCAACAGTGGATTTTAACATTACAAACAACAAAAAGGAACAATGAAAAAAAAAATGTACAATTAATGTTACCCTAAACATTAATATCAAATCTGGAGTTAGCTGGACTGTGAAATCTTGAGTAACCCTTCCTCTTCAGGTGAGCAGCCACCATTTCGGTCTACTCATACATCCTCTTTCGTTGAAGCAAGTTAAAAAGTTAATTTCAACAACCAAGTCAAGGCCACATCTGATAATCTTCCTGCGAGGACAAAAAAACTCCATTCGACATGATCCTTGGGTAATATGGTTCACTGATCCAGGTTTGAGGTCTCTTCTTCAAGGTTAAAGGCTCCCTCCCCCTCAAATCCCATCCCTTCCAATAAAGATCTGAATCCTCAGTAAATTACTTCATAAACCGTGGCCTTCTTATCCCCTGAGCCAGTAACAACATATTGGTCGTCAACTGAGATGTCACAGCATAGTACAGATGAAGATTCTTTGGACTGAAAAAAGAAACAAAAATGTCCTGTCAGCAACAATGATAATGACTCGTACATTCTACGTCCCCTCTAAGCCCACACAAACACACACACGCACACAGACAGAGTCACTTGGGATTCCATGCATGCCCATTGATATGCCAGCAGCATTCCCACTATTGACTTCCGGTTTCAGAAGCCACTGCTGCATACAGACCTCAGAGGTCCATGCACCAGATAAAGTAATTAGAGGGAAAATTGCTTACATTTCTAAAGCACCTTTGATGTACTAAGTCATCCCCAATCCCCTGAGAAGAGGATAAATAAAGAGGGAACAACAGAGGAATGTGAAGCAAAAATGGAGTGTAATATTTAACCTTTTTATTGTAACGAACATTGTGGTTTAACCCTGCACAAATGAATCCACATTTGAAGAGGATATGAGGTATGAAGAGAGAGGCTGGGCCAGTTACAACTGCATTCAATGGAGTTTAAAAGAACGAGTGCGTATTTCATGAGAAACCTATTAAATTCTAGCAGGACTAGACAGAGTAAACACAGAAAGGTCATTCCTGATGACCAGGGAGTCTAGAAACAGAGGTCACAGTCTAAGGATACAGACTAAGCCATTTAGAAATGAAATGAGGAGAAACTTCTTCACCCAGAGTGTGGTGAGACTGTGAAATCCTCTGCCACAGAAAATGGTGGAGGCCAAAACATGGACTGTTTCAAGAAGAAATTAGCTATAGTTCTCAAGACTAAAGGGATCTTAGAGTTTAGGGAGAAAGTAGGAACAGGATACACAAGAGTTGGATGATAGCCACGATCATATCAAATGGATAAGTAGGCTTGAAGGGCCGAAGGGCCTATTCCTGCTCCTGCTTTCTATGTTTCTATGGTTCCACAGGCACTGACAACCATGGCTGTGCCTCAAGGTCAAGATGATGAGCAGTGTTGCACTGTTTTATCCAAGGACAGTCTTATCTGAAATCTGCCATGTTTCTACACAACTTTTCCATCAGAAACCACTCAATGTGAGTCAGGATAAAGAGTTCTGTTGGTTTTTTTCCCTTCCTAATCAAAAGGCAGTGAGACAAATTGCAGTAGCACTGTTGTTCCTACAGCTGAGATCAATTAACATGAGCCACTGCTCTATCAGACTTCAGCACAGGCACAGTGAACCAAATCGTCTCATTTTTCACTGTTAGCTTCTTTGCGAGGTGATGCATGTTTTGTTGGAAAAACATTGAAAGACAATATAAAACAGGCATTTGTTAGACCTCAGCTTGAGTGGTATGCACAGTCTGCGCACAACATTACAGGAATGTTTTAGAGAGAGTGCAGAAGCTGGGTCAAAATCCTGGAATTCCCTCCCTAAGGGCATTGTGGGTCAACGCACAGCAGGAGGACTGCAGCAGTTCAAGAAGGCAGCTCACCACCACCTTCTCAAGGGCAACTAGGGATGGGAAATAAATGCTGGCCCAGCCAACGACACCCATGTTCCACAAATGTATTTAAAATAAGAAGCGATTTACAAGAATGGTTCCAGGGATGAGGAATTTCAGTTATGAAGATAGATTGAAAAAGTTGGGAAGTGAAGACTGCTAAGGATTGGGGGAGAGAGAGAGACTGGTAGAGGTCTTCAAAATTATGAGTAGCTTGGATAGAGTAGAAAAGGAGAAAACATTCCCGCTTATGGAAGAAAATGGAGCAAGAGAGCAAAGATTTAAAGTGACTTGCAAAAGGAAGCAAGTATGACGTGAGAAAAGAAAATTTGCCACACAGCAATTAGTTATGGTATGCAAAACACTGCCAGGAAGTGTGGTGGAGTCAGGTTCATATTGAGACATTCAACATAGCATTGGGTGATTATGTGGATAAAAATAACATGCGAGGATATGAGAAAAAATCCAGGAGACTGGCACTAGACAATGATGCCCACTTGAAGAGCCGTGCTGACACAATAGGCCAGATAGCCTCCTTTATTGCCGTAACACTTCTGTAATGCAATGACACACCCAGCACAGACCATGAATCAAAAGTAACTGCGAAGGAAGTAGAATCTTTGAATATTTTTAAGACAGGATAGATGGATCCTTGATAAACAATGGGGTGAAAGGTAGTCAAGGATTAGCAAGAATATGGAGACATCAGGTCATCGAGCAGTCTCCAGGGAATGAGCAGCTCACTCCAGCTCCTAGCTAATTTGTTTGTAACCTACAATTTAGGGAAACTTTAGGCTGCACCTTACCAACTTACCATTATTCTTTTCAACTGTTATTCTAGAAGGTGCATGCTCCTTGTCCCTCTTTCAACAACCAAAAAAAGACTAATCTTGGCCAAGGACACAATAGATGTCTGCAAAACCTCTCCAACCTCCTCAACAGACTGAGATCAGAATGGGGATTGAGCATGAAAACCCTTTGCCTATCTGCCTGATGCAAGTGGGTAAACATGTCACATTGTGTTTAATAACTGAATAAGCCCCAAGACCCGATTTTGAAATAATAAATCTTGTTCTTGGCGAGGAATACACTGCTTTTACTGTTGCATGTGTGCAGCAGACAAATTATCAGCTGGCTTCAAGTAATACGAATGTTTGTATACTGCGTATTGAGAATTTAATAAAAAAATTTCCCTTAAATAAATGAGCAACACCTCATTTTTGAAAATAAAAGGACAACGTGAAAAGTTCCTCAGGGACTGAAAATACCAGCAATGCCACTTTACACAAAAGCCACACAGGATCGGTCAATTGTGAACGTGCGGGCATTCTCCGGGATCTCCCAAAAGTTTCCCACAAGAGGAGAAAAAGCACCAGAGCAAAATAAATTTGTAAGTAAGGATAGCTCGGCAAGGATATTTTAATCAAGGGCATACTTGCACATTTTTACGTGATTCAAGAGCAACATCAGCACAAGGTATGTGAAAAACCTTTTATGAATAAGTAGGTACCAAATTTTCCTGACAACAGTTCCCATGAGATTTAATTTTCACTTCAGTTCCCCGCAAGTTGCGAATTAATTGACAAGAGGTTTTCAACTCGGATGCTAACAGGATCTAAAACCATCAGGCATAAGCTGCCTCCCTGGCAGCCAATCCCAATTCCCATCCCCTTCATCATTGTTTCTTACCTGGAATATACTTGCTCCATACGGTACTCTCCATGCATTTAGAAGGTTGTCTTTTCCAGTGCTTACAAACCACTTGCCTGAAATGAAGATGGAGAGAGTGAGCACACAAGTGCTTTCGCTCTGAACAGGGTTAGACCCTGCCTGCAGCTGTTTTCAAATGTCAGAAAGCCATTTGGGAATCATACAGCAATTTAGTATTTATCCTCCTCTGGTTCCTCTGGGACTTGGGAAAGAGGAGTTACCAATCCAACAGTATGAAGGGGTTGGATGTTAGCAGGAATGATCTACAACTCAGGTGAGTACAACACTGTGTTCATTCACCTCCCTCAAAAATCAAGCCAAGTCATTTCTCCAAGAATATTTTCTCAAGGAATCAACAAGTCCCTCAATTTACTTTTAACTTTTTATTCACTCACGGGATATGGGCATTGCTGACTGGGCCAGCATTTATTGCCCATCTCTAATTGCCCAGAGACAGCCATCCACATTTCTGTGGGTCTGGAGTCATGTGTAGGCCAGACCAAGTAAGGATGGCAGATTTGGGGCAGCACGGTGGGTCAGTGATTAGCACTGCTGCCTCACAGCACCAGGGACCCAGGTTTGATTCCATCTTCTGGTAACTGTCCATTTGGAATTTGCATATTCTTCCCCTGTCTGCGTAGGTTTGCTCCCACAGTTTCAAAAGTGTACAGGTTAGGTAGATTGGCCATGGGCAACGTAGGGTTACAGGGATAGGGTAGAGTGGTGGGTCTGGGTGGAATGCTCTTCAGACGGTCAGTGTGAACCCAACTGGCCGAATGGCCTGCTTCCACATTGTAGGTTTCTATGATTTCCTTTCTGACAAGACATTAGTGAACTAGATGGGCTTTTATGACAATTGACATTTGGCCAGCTCTTTACTCTAGATCTTTTTTTGTATTGAATTCAAATTCTACCATCTGCCATAAAGGCATTCAAGCACTTGTCCCCAGAACATTAGTGCTGGAATCCTGGACTGCCATTCCAGTGATATTACCACTACACCACTGCTTTAATTTCTTGATTAAAAACCTGCTTTAATTGATGTCAAAATCACTCTTCGAAAGGTCTTGATGATAATGACACTTTTTTTTTTCCTGTTAGTCCCACATACGGGTTATTTTTAAAGATCCCTGGATCTATTGATAACCAAAGTGACGGATTATAACAGAATTTACTCTTAGGCCATGCAGATGGCACTGGAGTAATATGAGAAAAGTCCAGTGAATATTTACCTTCCTTCCAGCGGAAGAGAAAACACCAAATACCAGCTTGACAGCGAGAACATCTCCAGGTTATCCAGTGACACCATTTCATCAAAAAAATCTCTAGCACAACTATCAAGTTAAAGCTGAATTAAGCGATTGCTCAGAAGGCAACATAAAATTTGTTGATCCATACCAGGATTACAAATATGGGCTGATCACTTCAAAAGGTCACCTTGAAGATTATTAGAAGTTCGGTTTCTGCCTCATGACACTTAGTTACTCAACGATACACTCTCAGCATCGTCCACTGGTACAGTACCTATGGAATCCAGAGATGGCCAAACTGCTTCTAATACATTGTGAATCTACCTACATGAAACAGGAAGACAAAATCCCTTTTCTTTCCGAGGTTGTACCTCAAAAACGGCTGTGCAGGCTCGAGGGTCACTCAAAACATTTTGTAAAAGTTTCAAATGTAGACAGCCAGCACTACCTTGTCACTGAGGGCCAACTCCATTTTCCACCATTTACAATATCCCATCACTTCTCCCAGTCTCACTGCTAGACCAGCCAACTGCTGCAGCCCATCACTCAACAAGGTCTGGTGCAACACATTCAAGGCTCAACTACCCGTATTTTCCAAAATGTATAAAACCGCATGCAGTTTATTTAGTATCTTTGTAGATCAGGGCAAATCATGGATTTTGACCAGTGAGATGTCTAATAACTCCAATTTGAGGTAATGTATGGCTCCTCTTCCCCATAAAGAGAATTGTCAACTACAAGAGTATGACATTTCCCTTTATTTTTGTTCTTAATTTTTGGCAAGATCCATTGGATTGCTGCTGACATCAGAGGTTGTGAGCCAAAGCAACACTTCTGATTCCAAAGGCTCTTCAACATCATGTGATGGCAGTGATGAGGTGAACTACATGGATAGCAACACAATGCCAACAAGTCAGGCGATGGGAAAGCCAAACGGCTCTGAAGGCAGTACTCAATTGCTTACATTGATTTTCCTTAGCCATTAGAGAATAGAGAATCATCCTTCAACTATGATCAATTTTCCCTTCTCCTCTCCTTTCACCCACTGTTGACGATCGCCCTTAAGCTCCTAGAACGTTGCCATCAAACATCACTAATCTATCCATCTCTCTCACCTTTAAAGGCCCACTTTGAAACCCAACTCCAACTGAGCCATTGGTAATGCCTCTCCCTCCTTTTCATCTGAGTTGGCATCCATTTCTTCCCTTGGATCTCTGAAGCAGCTTGTAATGTTTTATCCCCAGTAAAGACCTGATATAAATGCAAGTTACTGTTGTACAACAGATAGATACGATCCTATCCACAGACACAATGGACAGCAATTTTCAAAAATAATTTCTAAGATCTCTGCTCTTTTAGTTCTGGCCTCTTCAGTGTCCTTAACTTTAAAGCAGCTTACCAGTGCTTGCTATGTCTTCAGCTATACCCAAGCCCCAGGTTTTGTAATTCTTCCCCTAAAGCTCTCAGTTCATTACTACCTCTCTCTGTATTCACTTAAGCCACTCCTGAAACCCATCACTTCTAACTAACCTTTTAGTCATCTGTCCTATCATCACCTTAAGTGTTTTGATGTCCAATTATTTTTTTTTGACTGTGCAGTTGTGAAATTCCTGGAGAAATCTCACTATATTGAAAAAAAGCCTGCATAAATGTAAGTTGTTGTTATTTGGGAATGCAAGGAGGACAAGGCAATGAGGTAGCATTCAATATTAAAGCTTCATTGTGTCAAAGACTGCTTCCCTATGTAATCATGATGCCTATCCACTATACCAGCCAAGTGACTCCATCCCATCTGTCTGGGCAACAGAATGCAGGGCTCAAAACAAGATGGGTTTTAAAGCTCTGGCCTAACCAATAATCTCTCCCCAAACACCATCTGAGGCAAAACTGAAGAGATTGAAGATTTCCCAGAAATATTAGAAGTAAATTGGCTGATATAATTGGAAAGACAGAAAACAAAACTTGCTACTGGCAGATGTGAATGCAGCACTTATTTTTTGGACGGAAAGCCTCCAAAATTCATTGATATCCGTTAGTCTCATACGATGAAGCAGGAGTAGGCCCATACGACCCCAAAGCCTCCTCCACCATTCTGAAAGTGTCCCTGTATCTCTCAAATCTCCTGAGATCCAAAAAGGCTCAAGTTCAAAGCTGTGAGGTCTTTTTAATCAATTAATGTGTCTCAAAAAATCAGTGAGGGTGACCACCAAATCTAATCGGACTAATAACTTAATTGATAATTTGCTTTAAGAAGTTACAGCAGATTCAGTGCCAAGGCATCGAGTTTATGGAAATATGCTCGGAGCTCTGCAGCGGAGCCTAAATATAACTGAGGGATGCGGAAAGCAGGATGGGAGGCAAGTCAGAAATTGAAGCAATTCTGCAAACATAATTATATACAATTAATTAAATGACTAGGCCATGTATAGTCTTTGGCCCTTTAGCAATTTAAAAACCAGTGACCTTTCTTAAAGTGACAGTTGAGAAAAGAAGTTTTCACAAATGGAATAAAAAACTGAGCACAGCAAATATATAATTGCCAAAAACTAAATTAACCACTTGTAGGCATATCAGTCAAGAGATGACTGTATCAAATCAGTCCTTCATTTTACATGGAAGACTCAGCTTTTATGGAACAGAAATGTTTGTTTTATGCCCTGAAATGATCAGAGTGAGGTATGCCAGTTCCCTCTAGTGGCAGAAAAACATGCTTCAAAATGACTCATCGCATGCAGATGATAGTTCTCGTCCTTCCTAATTGGCTCGGGCAGTAGACTTCATTTTCAAGTAATTTATCAACACGTTTAATGAAATGACAAATTGTAGCCTGCACATCGTCGATGACTTGACTGCAGTCTTCACTTTGTAGGTCTTGCAGGATACCAGCAACAAGCCAATTTGTTGTTTCAAGCTCCCTTTAAAGTGACAATTTAAAGCCAGCAAGCATCTGTCTGCTCACATCATGTGGAATGAATTCCAGGCTGCTGTGCGTAATCTGCAATTAAATGCTGCGATCCCTTTACCTCCTGAGTAAAGAGTCATAGAGGTGTATGATATCATGACCATACTACTTACAGGTTCAATTTTACAAGTGGTTCACTTATTCTTAAGGACATCGAAGGTCTATAACAGAGATAGGAGGAACTGCAGGTGCTGGAGAATGAGATAACAAGGTGTACGGCTGGATTAACACAGCAGGCCAAGCAGCATCAGAGGAGCAGGAAGGCTGACATTTCGGGCCTAGACCCTTCTTCAGAAAAATTTTTCTGAAGAAGGTCTATAACACTTCTGTTCAAATTTTGTACAGAAGCATAGTCGAGAATTAACTTGCTTCAATTCAGATTATTCTGCTTCACAAATGATCTGCTCTTTCTGGTGTTCAGCCCAAATAGTAAAATACTGAAGCTGCCTTACTTTGACAGCTTCAGCTCCTTTTTACTATCCACCACTACACCTTCCACCCCCCCCACACCCACGCTGGCTAAGTTATCCAATGCAATAGAGCTTTAAATGTTATTTTGGAAGAGTAAGGAGGTGAGAACTGGTGCGGTTCAGTAGGAACACACCATAACTAGACTGCAACAAGTACTGAGAGTCACTATACTGTTGCTGCATTGTCCTCACGCTCCACTTCTGAAATCAGTCATCACAACTAGATACAATGCCAACTCAGGGTGATAATGAGAGCCCAAGATTCCTGGGAGCGTCAGGGTTGACTGTAGTCTGGAATTTACCCATCAAGTGCTTGGTGCTTGATTGAGCCTGTCAGAGGCAACCTATTCCTTGACCAACATTAAGCTCTAACCTCCATGCTCCACACCACCCTATCCCATCTAATACTCCTCAAGTACTTTCCTATAGTCAGAAATAGACTAGCAACAATTAATCAGTTGGAAGTAAACAGGCAGGGGACATATTAGTGCATTTCTTTTCTTCCAAATGGTGCCCAAATAGAAATCCTTCTTTTGCACATTCTAACATTCACAAATAGCACAAATTCTAATAATTGGAAGCCACATTTGAGGACATCAACGCAGACAATGCCATAATTACCAGCCCAAACAAGCAAAGAGCTGTCACCACCCACCTCCCGCACAAGTCACTCTCAAGGTTTCATGTGCAATAAACAGTACTTACATCTTTCCAGCAAGCTTATTTCACAGGCAGAATGTGCACCAGGAGAAGAAAAGATACTGATTTTCAGAACTAAAAGCCATGAAACCAATTAGACGTATGTTTTAAAAGATTTTCCACTTCCAGAGTATTAGAGAGTGAGCGAGTGAGAGAAACGGTGTAGCAAGTTCCAAGCTCTCGGGTTAAAAATACGAGTGGTTATCAGCAATCAATCTGTTATTTTCACCCTCCTACTGGCCAATTTTGTAAGCAGGCCAGTTCAATCAGCAGGAATGTTCTCAAACAAATAGAAGAGTTGCAATGAACGGAAGCTACATTTTTAGGCTGCCACCAACAAATGAAAAGGCACAAGTTTAAAACCGCTCCTGAAACCACATTCTGAGAGCCACAGGCCTAGGACAGGGTGAAATGCAGATTCCAAATGATACCTAGAGTTACAAAAGTTAAACATGCGAACACGTTGCATGGTTTAACCTGGTGTTCCCTCAAGCAGGGAAAGTGAAGGCATGATCTATTGAAGGTGTTAGAACAAAGGAGTTTTTAAGAGGGAAGAGAGAGAAACTACTTGCTCTCCTGGTGGTGCACAGAACCCAAGGAAGAAGGAACAATGATTAAAATTGGAGCTGTGTCACTCAAGGAAACATTTTTTCACAAAGTATAGAGCGAGTCTATAATTCTTTCCCCACAAGACCTCTCCATTAAAATAAAAAATACAGATTGATACAGTTTTGACAGCCTGGATTATTAATCATCATTTCTCTGCATCTTCTCTGTAGCTGTAACACTATACGCTACATTCTGTTCTATTACCCTGATGTACTTATGTAATAATTTGTCTGGTTAGCACGCAAAACAATGCTTTTCACCATATTTTGGTACATGTGATAATAATAAATCAAATCAAATCAAAACTGGAACTAAGGCATTTAGATATATCTAATGTACAGATTAGCCACAAACTATTGTAACAGTGGAACAGAAAATCAGTACTTACCACAATAGGCAAATTTGAGTGATAGAACACAACTCTCGTGAAGGTGAAGCTGATATTTATCTGGTTTGTTGACATGTAACACCTCTACATTGCTGCTCTCCGTGCCGACAGCTAGCCATCCCCCTGTTGGGCAACAGCCTAGTGCAAAGATCTGGGGAAACAAGAGATTAAAAACAGGTATTAAATGCCAGCTTTGTTTTCTAACACAACTGTCTATCCTCATACAAGGCTAGATGTGTATAGACTGGAGCAGACTGGGGATGAGCCCTTGTCAATAGTGTGGAGTTGGAGGAACATAGCAAGTCAAAGAGGCAGGGATGAGAGGGAGGATTGGGCATGGAATGAGGCCTTCCAACTGCCAACCATTTTAACTGCTCCTCCCACTCACTTAGTGACATGTCCATCCTGGGCCTCCTCCAGTGTCACAATGACGCCACATGCAAACTGGAGGAACAGCACCTCATATTCTACTTTGGGAGCCTACAGCCTGTTGGCTTCAACACAGAATTCACCAATTTCAAAATCTCCCCAACCCCAGCCTGAACCCACATCCAACCCTCCCTTCTCCTCCTGCCTCCTTGATCTGACACATCCTGTCCATCCTCCCTGCCACCTATCCGCTCCTCCTACCTCACAGACCAATCCTCACCACTCCCTAGCTGCACTCACCTATCACCATTCCACCTACCTTCCCCAGCCCCACTCCCCTCCCTCTATTTATTCCCAAGCTCCCTTCCCCCTCCCCAGTCCTGAAGAAGGGTGTAAACCTGAAACATCAATTTTCCTGCTCCTCTGATGCTGCCTGACCTACTGTGTTCCTCCAGCTCCACACTGTATTGACACGGACTCCAGCATCTGTAGTTCTTGCTATCTCTGGGGAAGAGTCCTTGTTAACTATAAACCAGATTCTACTGAAATATTATCAAATCGCAAAGTAACAGGAGGAATGCAGAGGCCTTTATGGGTAACAGAGTCGTAGCGCTGTACAGCATAGAAACAGACCCCTCAGTTCAACTCGACCATGCCAACCAGATATCCTAAATTAATCTGCTCCCATTTGTCAGCATATTGCTCTAAACCCTTCTTATTCATATATCCATCCAGGTGCCTTTTGAATGTAATTGTACCAGCTTCCACCACTCCCTCTGGCAGCTCATTCCATCCACGCACTACCCTCTGCATGAAAAAGATGCTCCTCAGATCCGTTTTAAATCTTTCCCCTCTCACCTTAAACCCTCTAGTTTGGGACTCCCCCACCCCAGGGAAAAGACCTTGACTATTCACCCTATCCGTGCCCCTCATGATGGTATAAACCTCTATAAGGTCACCCTACAGCCCCTGACGCTCCAGGGAAAATAGCCCCAGCCTATTCAGCCTCTCCCTATAGCTCAAGCCCTCCAACCCTGGCAACATCCCTGTAAATTTTTTCTGAACCCTTTGAAGTTTAGTAACATCCTTCCCGTAGCAGGGAGAGCAGAATTGAAGGCAATATTCCAAAAGTGGCCAAACCAATGTTCCGTACAGCCGCAAAATGACCTCCCAACTTGTATACTCAATGCACTGACCAATAAAGGCAAGCATACCAAGTGCCTTCTTCACTATCCCATCCACCTGTGACTTTACTTTCAAGGAACTATGAACCTGCACTCCAATGTCTCGTCGCTCACAGTTGTCAGAAACAGAATCTGCATTGTTAAACTAAATGTGCAACTACAGCCGCAAAGTAGATGCCTCTTCATTTTTGCAGATTCAATGACTTTTCTTTGTAGAACAAATGTAAAGACTCAATTGGACTAGCATACCATGATATATTCCATATATATCACAACACATGCAGACATGGAAGATGTCTTAAAGGGAATCTGAAGAACTGTCATTTCTATCTAAGAATAAACTTGTGATCCAAGCTGTTCATCGCAATAGCTTTTAAACTCAGCAGATGAGTGAATTTGAGGAACTTGTCCATTTTTCACTTCCAATACTAGTTCATCTTAATTATCATAAATTAGTTCAATTCAAGTATTTGGAATATGCCATTAGAGTTAAAACATCACCTCCCTTTATGAAACAAAATATGGCCGTAAAGGTACTGTCATGGAACTATCATTTGCACAATTCAGTTACAGAATTGCAAGAAAATCATATCAGATGCAGCTAAGTTAGGTTGCCTAATAAACAATACAATACTGCATAATTTTTCTGTTCACAACTTCTAACTACTACCTATATCTCATCACTAAAACAATCTGGCACAAGCACAATTCCAAACCTTCAGAACATTATGAGATCTTAAGTTTAGTGAAATGTGAGACAGTGGTGCTATTGACCTCTCCTGTTGCTTGGAAATGCAAGGCAATCAGATCTCAATGACCATAAGGGGTAAGTAAATCTCCAGAGTCCTAAATTTCGATTCCCAATTGAGACTATTAAACGTTGAGTTCTTAATCTCCACTGCAGAAGTCCGGTGTCACACTGGGCCAATAACTGGTTTGAATCCCACTCCAGTACTTGATGATAATGGATGTTGCATTCATACGTTGGCCAAACAAGTTTGTTTTTTTTTTGAAAACCGAAAGAACTGCGGATGGTGTAAATCAGGAACAAAAATAAAGTTGCTGGAAAAGCCCAGCAGGTCTGGCAGCATCTGTGAAGGAAAAAACAGAGTTAACGTTTCGGGTCCGGTGACCCTTCTTGCCCATTCCTAATTGATCAGAGGGCAGTTAAGAGAGTCAACTATATTGGTGTGGGCCTGGAGTCACATGTAGGCCAGATCAGGTAAGGATGGCAGGTTTCCCTCCTTGAAGAGGATTTGTGAATCAGATGGGATTTTCCCCGACAATCGGCAATGGATTCATGGTTATCATTAGACTCTTAATTCCATATCTTTTTATAATTGAATTCAAATTCCACCATCTACTGTGGTGGGATTCAAGCCCATATCTCTGATACATTAGCCAGGGTTCTGGACCATTCGTTCAGTGATATTACCACCATCACCACCCCTTATCCCCTACTGACAGCAATTAATGCACTTGCACCAGCAAGAAGCAGACAAAGGTGCTATGGAACATGATGGATCTGGTCAAATTCATGGGTGACTATGGAATGGTTCTTACAACTTAACATGATGTTCCTGACCTGAACTATCCCGTAAGATGAAGGCCCTACTCAGAAACCAGTTGTTTTCACAAGAAAACAAAAAGGTGGAAAGCAAGCGCAACAAAAACAAAAGCAGGCCTCGTCACTCTTGGTTTTGCAGAATTGACAGCGCAAATCAGGGAAGGTAATGGCCCAGTGTCAGTATCGTTGGACCGTTAAACCAGAGACCAAAGCAATGTTCTGTGGATCCAGGTTCGAATCCCACCACGGCAAATGGTGGAATTGGAATTCAATAAAAATCTGGAATCTGTTTAGTGATTGTCGAATGTCAGGAAAAACCCATCTGGTTCACTAATCTCTTTTAGGGAGGAAACTGCCGTCCTTACCTGGTCTGGCCTACATGTGACTCCAAACCCACAGCAATGTGGTTGACTCTCAACTGCCTTCTGGGCTATAGGATGAGCAATGCTAATTGCTAGCCAGCAATGCCCACAATTCATGAATGAATCAAATAAAAAAAACCCAGGATTCAAAATAATTTGGAAGGGCTCAAGTGGAATGAACACTTTAACCATAAGCTTCCTCACACTGGTCAGCAGATGTTACATACCTGTGAGGCAAAATCATGCTGATGCACTTGACGCCCCTCCCTCAGGTCCCAGCATCTGACCGTATTGTCCAGTGCTCCAGTCCATAGCTTCGTCCCGTCATTAGAAATGTCAGTGCAGCTGACACCATCAGAGTGGCCTTGGAACTGCCTGAGTTTTCAAAAAAAAAAGTTTAAAAATATTTACATCCAAAATTCCTAAAGCTTAATACTAACGCACCTCCCCCAAAAAGAAAACTAATCTGCACTTGAGAGGAAGTTATCGAAAATCAATGATCACTGACCAAAAGTACACAAGTATTACCAAGTTTGCAGAATCTGACCACGAATCCCATTGGAAGAATGCACATCATCATTACTGACTCAGCATTAAACTGTTTAGTGCTCCCACATTAATAAATGGAGGCCTATCAGTGTGCATTCTTTACATGTACCTTAATGGCTCAACTTTAAAAGTGACTTCCTCAAATGCTTTTAATTATCACCCTAAATCAATGTTCACCGATCCTCTAATGTTTGCCTTACAGTCTCCAGTCCACCAATAAGAATATGATTCATCAAACGTAAAGAAAATGTGAACTAAGCTGTCTAGGTACACCTAATTTTATTCACTCACTGTCATACCGTGCCATCATTGTTCTCCTGAATTACTCTGTACTGCAAACACTGGGAGGTGCAAAAGTATAGACCAAGAAAAATCACCCCTTCTGTAGAGAAGCTGTTTGGCCTCAATTGTCACTTCCTGTCATCTGCACACTAAGTAATTAAATGTGGGTGGGTGGTATAGCGGAGTTGGAATTTTATGAAGCACTATCCAATTGCATCAGGTTAACCAAATGGAACCTGTAGTATGCAACACAAACCTGGTGACCTCAAAAGGATCCGTGAGTCTGAATGCAAGTAGCATCGCACTTTGGCAACACAGGCCTTTTAGAACAATATATTGTCTTTATGGATGAACCCTAAAGTACTTACAGACAGAGTGAACCTTTAATTACAACATAATTTTTTTCAAAAAGTGACATACAGCCAGGAGTGTGACTGCGTATGTAAATTCAGTGGCTGGCTGGAGACAGAAAGAGAAAGAAATCCTGGAACGTCGCATCTGATGAGGTGTCAGGAAAGGTTCAAAAGGGTTAGATTTAACAGGTGAGTCGAGCACTACAAAATGAACTGTAATCTCCAGGGAGTTATTGCAGACTGTACACATGATTGGAGAAAAGATAACAGTCTGGGAAGAGACAGGTTTTGCTTCTTCCCTTTCAAGCATGTACCTGTGGTTAAAAGCAAGTTCAATCCTTGTCTCTGTGTGCTAATGGAGGGTGTGCTAGTGAGCTCAGGGGCTCGTGTGTACAGTGGGCAGAGGTACTCGTATACCAGCATGAGCTGGAGTGGTCATGTGCTGTAAAAGTCAGCATCAAAGAACCGCCTGCTCGTCACCATTGCATTGCAGGTGAAGAACACTAGCACTCGAGCACTTGAAGTCAACTGCTAACAAACCAGTCAAAAGGAAACAGGGTAAAAGTAAGACTCTCTTGCTTGGAGTACTGTCAACCAAACACTGTCAAAAGGAAATGGGACAAAAACATTTCAATAACCTGCAACATTGAGAATCATAAAATTGACTGTTCAACCAGCAACAGTGCAAAATATGCTCTTAACAACAACCAAGGAGTGTAACCCCCATTATTTTTAAAAATTGCTTTTGCATCTCATTTCTAATCTGTGTGCGCTACATTACTACTTTTGCTCGTGTTTAGTAACGAATAAAATCTTTTTTAAAATCAATAAACTCTGGTTAAACTAGTTCTTTTTAAAATGTAAATTCACTTGGTCTAGGAGAAAGGGTACCAAGGAAGGAGATCCAAAGTGAATTAACTTTGTTGTGAACAACTGAAGGAGCAGATGAATAAAGAAAGGGAGCCAGTTCCATCCCTCCTCATCCAGGAGTTGACAATTTGGGATATCTCATCTGGAAGCCTGATAACTTGGGGAACTTTCCCTCAGGTCTGGGTGTAACACATTATGAAATAAGACCTGTAATAAATAGAACAAAGGGTTGAGGGGTTGGTGTTCAATGGTGTTTAGCGGGTAAGGCATTTTAGTACAATTCTGAAGAAGAATTCCGAACTCATCTTGTTTAAAAAAAAAAGACAAAGGGAAAATATAATGCAAATTAACTCCTCCACAGATATCTCTCACACATATACATAAATAAATGATGACTTTGGAGAGTTTGTGTTACAGGGAGAGGCTGGATAGGCTGAGCCTTTTTCCCCTGGAGCGTAGGAGGTTGAGGAGTGACCTTATAAAAATCACGAGAGGCATAGATAAGGTGAACAGTAAAAGGTCTTTCACCTAGGATGGAGGAGATTAAAACAAGGGGACATATTTTAAGGTGACAGGGAAAAGATTTAAAAGGGACCTGAAGGGCAACTTTTTCACACAGAGGGTAATTCATATGTGGAATGATCTGAAAGTAATTGATGCAGTTACAGTTACAACATTTGAAAGACATTTGGTCGGGTATAAGAAGAGGAAGGGTTTAGAGGCATATGGGACAAACGCAGGCAAGTGGGACTAGCTCAGTTTGGGAAACTTGGTCAGCATGGAGGAACATAGAACATAGAACATAGAACATTACAGCGCAGTACAGGCCCTTCGGCCCTCAATGTTGCGCCGACTTGTGAAACCAATCTGAAGCCCATCTAACCTAAA